TTTTGAGAGAGAGGGGAAATTTGTTGGAGTTAGTTGATCCAGACTTGGGATCAGAGTACTCATCAGAGGAGGCAATGGTCATGCTGAATGTGGCTCTCCTATGCACCAATGCATCCCTCACACTGAGGCCTACCATGTCACAGGTTGTGAGCATGCTCGATGGTCGAACAACTGTTCAAGACCTCTTCTCAGATCCTGGGTGTTCATCCATCAGATCGAAATTCAAGGCATCAGTTAATCACTTCTGGCAAAATCCAAGCCAAAGAGTAAGCATGTCAATCAATGGCCCAAATGCTGATTCCTTAAGCTCAAATATAGAAACAGAAGAGACAGGCCATCTTTTAAAAGTTAGTTCTGTTCAATCTGAGGTGTAATTTGTGCCATTATCATAGTTTTTCATTTTTTTTTTTTTAACGCTCCTAACAACTACTAGGCAAAGCATTGGTTGTTCTACTATAGTTTATTATAGCATCAAGTGTATATAGTAACAGGAAAATCCCTTGTTCTAGTAATCTACTCTCTTTGTATTGTTATCAAAATACCAACAAAATCTATATAACACTGTACCTATGCCAATATAACTATATATAAATGAAGTACAATAATTAACTGTGCAATGCCTTTATTTTTTTCATTTTCCATCTGGTCCAGGAGAGTCTAGGCTCTACTTGTCAACTTCTATTCAACTATATCTATATATTAAAAGGGTCCAACAAGGACTTTTTGTTTGACACCTATCTAAATCTAAATGTTTGACAAATGACTTAGAAGTAATTGGTTTGTTTCCGTTGAGTTGGGGAAAGGCTATTGGAAAGGCCAATTGCATGTTTGTTGGGTTGGTTAAACAAGTTGGATGTTTATTTGGTAATTACTTGGCTAGGAAATGATGTTTCAAATATGAATTTTCCAAGAAATGTCCATATTAAGTTATGAGCTTTGCCAGAAAAGATTGATTTTTTATTGTAGTGTATTATTATTTTATATTTTTAATTAGATTAGAATTATTTTTTAGTTATAAATTATAAAATAAAAAAATATTTATAGAATTAGTTAGTTAGAAATAAATGAGCTTTTAAAAAAAAGTTCAAGGTTTAGTTAGACATATGGGTTTTGCAAGAAAGGTAGAATTGGATTTTATTATGTAAAATTTTATATTGTCCATTTTGATTAATGTATATCCTAATGCTTTCGATTTAGTATTATTTTATTTACTAAATAATGCTCGCACTTTGCATTCTTTTGATTTCAAAAAATTATATCAATAAATCATATATAATATTATATTACAATATACATAAAAATTCAATAAGATTTGTTTAGGTAGACGCTTAAGTGAATAATTTATATTATTGACATATAAGATAATTTTAAATAAATTTATTCAATCAATTATTTAATTTTTAAAAATTTTAAAATTTCAAAATTTACATTTATCCAAAATTTTTAAAGTATATAAGATTTATTCTAATTTAAATCTGATAAAACATATCTTATACTTCACTCTTACCCATATATATGAAATACAAAATTCAAATAATTTTTAAAAGTTAAATCCCTAATCTTAAAAATTATAAAAAATTATATACTGTCTAAGTTAATATTCACATAAATTTAAATAAATAAAGTTTTGTGGTTGAACCACTATTATTTACCAATTTTTTTGCCTTTATTTGTCTATAATTTAAAATAAAAAAGAAAAATACTTTATCTCAAATTAAAATTATACACATATCTAAATTTAAAATTATACTAACCTCTTTTATCTTAATTTAAAATTAAACTAGGATAAACTACATTTTTAAACATTTGAATTTTTTTAAATTAAATAATTATCAAATATATATTTATGATTTTTTTCTCACAATCAATATTTTCTTCTTTATAAAAGATAGAGTAATCAAATTTTCATCACAAAAGTTTGACATGATAAAGTTTTAAAATTAAACATGAAAAAGTCTTTCATAATATATCACATATGTAAATCTTAGTTTTTATACTAAAATAATTTATACTTTATGTAATTGTGAACAAAAAATTGATTTTTTTATTTAGATTCGTATGTAATTTTATTTTCATAATTCAAAACTTTCGTAATGCTTATTTAGATTTTTTCATAATAATTTATATATAAACAATTTTTGTGATTTTGAATTACAAATTATAAATAATTACGAATATTTTTATTTAACTATATATAATATAAAAATTAATATAAATTAAAATTTTAAATTATAAAAAATATAATAAAAATTCCGTGCATGGCATGGGTTAAAAAAACTAGTATATAAATAATATACAAACAAAATATAAATAATTAAAATATGGATATATAAATAACAATATATATCCTTATATGTACAAACAAAAAAAATTAATATGATTGTAATAAATATACAAAAATAGACCAACATTAACACATAATCATCAATAAATAAATTAAGATTATTCAAAATTGTTGACTCATTGTAAATTGAGATTATCCTCTAACAAATTCCATATATTTAAAAGTTGCATAAAAAACAGATTTACTGATAATAGAATTTAAAAATTGACAACCAAGTCAACAATGTTAATGTGTATTTGATTTCTTAAATTTGTAGTGATAATTGATAGGGAAGGTTTTTTTGTTATTATTGAACATATCCAACTCAATCCAATAATTCAATTGATTTACCATAAAACTGTAAGACCCAAAGAATATTAAATAGAAAAAAAGAACAAAGATAAGGAAAAGAAACTAAATCAAAGGTAGGAAAGATTCATATTCATATTTAAGGAGTGAAATAGTAAGTGTTCTAATGACATAATACGTTATGTAAGTGTTTGATTGATGAATTTCGCAAATGCAATTCATAAGTGCATGAATTATATCAATCAATAATGAGTGAATTTTGTTTCCACGAGAATTAAGTTAATTTTAGTACTAATTACCAAAATTAAGCAACTTAACTATATTTGGCTATTTCAAATCAAGGTTTGACCTATCAACTACCAATAATAATAAAGACATTAACCAAACAATCTATTAAAAAAAAAAAAAAAAAAAAAAAACGAAGAACACAAGAATCGAATGAAAAACGCTAAAACAGAATTATGCAACATGAAGAGATCATTGAAAATCACAATAATCAAATATAAAGCATCTATTAAATTATTTTAAAGTTTAAAATGAATAAAATTATATTTTTTTATTTCAAATTTTAAAGTAGACAAATAGCTTGTATCAAAATTAGAACAATTACAACGTATGAAGTAGCAACAAACTCCTCAAGCCTTCTTTAAGCTATAACAAAAATCAAATCATAGAATAAATGCCAAAATGAAGAGAAAAATACTTATCGGATGAAATTGAAACAAAATAGGTTGAACAAAATAATCCTAAACAGTGATTTGAAGCAGAGAAAATTAATTTTAACAAGAGTAAAATTAGCTCAATTCGAAGAATTTTAGAAGAAAGTAAACAAGAAGTTATTAGATTAAAAGAATTTCGAAAAAAAATTTGGATTGAGAAAGACAATTGAAAGAAAAAAAAAAGAGGTCAAGAAGAAAACTAATAAAAGAAAAAAATGATCAAAAAGCTCAATTTAATTAGGTTAATATTTAGATAATTTTGTAATTATACAAACTTTGTCAATAGAGTTAAGAATTTGGAGGTGGGTTGTCTAATTTTTATTATGTTGAATTTAATTTAAAACTGAAAGACTTACATATAATTTATTTTAAATGGGCGTTTGGTTCAGGGGAATTCATATATTTTTTCTCAAAATCTTATTTTGAGTATTTGATTTCAACGTTTGATTCAGGGTTATATGATTTGAGGAAAATCTAACATATTCCTCATAGTACCCAAAGTATCAAAATAAAAAACCTACTTCTTCTTGTGGTATTCTAAGATTTCGAGAAGAGAAAAATAATGTTATTTTCAAATTTACTTGAATAAAAACACCTAAAATAACTATTACTATTTTGAAATGCATGTCTATAATAAAAATGCTTGAAATGACAAAAAATGCTTTCAATAATCTTTTCATAAAATTTTATGATGTAATTACTTAAGGTGTTTTTTATCATAAATATCTTGAATAATTTCAAAAAATTTTTTTAATAGGATTATTAAAGGTATTTTTGACTAAAAATATATTCAATAATCTCCTTATAAATTTTTATGACGTAATTACTCAATGTATTTTTAGCAAAAAACATCTTGAATAATCTCAAAAAAATTTTTTTAATGCGGTTATTGATTTTATGAGGTGATTACTTAAGGCATTTTTTGTGAAAAACGCTTGAATAGTCTTAAAAAAATTTTTAAATGGGGTTATTAAATATGTTTTTGGTCAAAAAAATTTCAATAATCCTCTTATAAATTTTTATGACGTGATTATCCAATGTATTTTTAGCCTTGAATAATCTCTAAAAAATTTTTTAATATGATTATTGAAGATGTTTCTAGCAAAAAATACATTTAATAATCCACTTATAAATTTTTATGAAATGATTACTCAAATATTTTTGATAAAAAATATCTAAAATAATCTTGAAAAAAATTTTAATACGATTATTGAATGTATTTTTGATTAAAAATATTTTCAATAATCTCTTCATAAAAATATGAAATTATAATTATTATTTTAAAAAAATTATAATAATTATTTAAAATTTAATATATTTAAATATTTCTAATCAAATGAATGAATCTAAAAATAAAATATTTTAAAAATAAAAAAACCTCAAATATTATATTTTTTTGAGAATCATATTTTTTACAAAATTTACGATTTTGTAAATAAAACGTCCTTTAAAAGCTAATAAGCTTTAAATGAAGAGCCAAAACAAAAGAAATAACAATGTAAGTAGCTTTAAAAAATCCAGGTGTCATCATTTTAGGAGACTGTAAGTTCAAATAGTTGTTGGTTAGACGTTGGAGTTGAGAGTATGCCTTGACTCCTGACTACAAAAATTTATAGTTTTAAGATAAAAAACTAGAAAGGAAAAAAACCATTAAAAGAAACAGAGAAAAAATAAAATGCAAAAGTGACAACCCGTGCACCCTAGAGCACGTTAGTGAAGCTGATCTTAGAAATATATGAATCTGCGTAGAGCCTGAACTTCCTGACTCGCCATCATCCCAAAGTCGGCGCATGTTAGCATAATAACCGGAATCTCATTTGGTCTGGGCGTAAAGAATGTTTACTTCTCCTGAATTGTGATTAGCATTAGAATCCGTTGATCGATCTCTTCTCCATATCTCGACCATCGAATCCCTTTGCTCCTGCCAAATCAATCTGTTAGCTCTCTTTACCTTAATTTTCAATCCAATCTATAGTCCAATTAATGCTATGATCTTTTTTTTTTTTGAATTTTAACTTCTTTTTTAATGTTTCCAGTATGATGTTTATATAGCATTTTGTCTTTGCAATTTTGTTTAGATTAATTGTTTATTATGTTACATAATTTCATTTTTTGATAAAGAAAAAAGGGAAACAAAATACATTTCTTCTTTTTTTTTTTTTTTTTTTTTCAATTTCTTTTAAATGTTGAATGTTAGAATTTACAATTTTAAATAATGTTGTACTCAGTTGATTATTGTTGGATGAGCTAAATGAGCTAATTGTTGAATTTTTTTATACATCATAATTTTCATTGATTTCCTTTTATCTTGAAATCCAAGATCAACCATTTGCAACAACTGACAATAGATAGAGCTATGAGTTATGACATAATAATAGAAAGTGACTATACTGCATCTTTCTCTTTCATGGAGTAATATGTATTAGGAGAAGAGATCGAGAAACATAGTGGATATAAATAATATGAGGAAACCTCCTTCATTGGTAGATCTTTGTGTTAGAATGGCAATAGATAACGTAAGATACCTTGGGGATGACGGTGAGACAGATTCACATCTTCTTGAACGTATTCTGCCGCATTGTACAATGGATCAATTATTGCACGTGGAGAGGAGTAGAAAAGTATGTTGACTTGCATAGTTTGTGCAACAATAGATATTTTCCTTTCATTATATATAAATTTAAAAGGGATTGATTGATTATTGTAGGGAAGGGATCTTAGTTCAGTAACTGATAAACTATGGAAGAATTTCTATGACCTGCAGTTTGGTCGTGCGAGTACTAAACTTGTAATTGAGAGGATGAAGCTCAAGAGAGTGTCATTTAGATGGAGACAGTTGTATGAGGTAATCTTTTAACTTTCTTTCCTTTCATGCCATCTTCTTACCTAGTAGCTAGGTTGTTGGTGGAATGTTGAGGAACCTGCAATTTGCCTTGACTTAAAGATGTGCACTGATTTATGGACTTACCTACTAAAGTTGGATGATTTATTGTAGGAAAATTGAAGGACGTTCAGGAGGTTGAGAACAAAGCAATTGATCGGCTTAATCAACTATACAAGAAAGAAGATGCTTGTATGCTCCTTGTTCTCTGAATTCTTAATAACAATATAAGCCATGGTTTTGACTCGTTGCTTGCCTGCTACATGTATGCTTCTGTATCTTATACTTTTGTATCACTGGTTTGATTTGCATTTAGGGGTCATTACCAGTGCATAGTGCCCCAAGCTTTCTCTTGCAAGCATACAAATCTTGCAAAAGAGGCCACTTCCTTGAGAAAGTGCTGAAAATTGGAACAATTTCTTAACTATCATTCCCAGGAACCTGCTTCAGGCCAAACTTGCACCATGAAGTGGTCTTTAATTGTGTGTCTACATACTTGAAGTAATAGATTGGACAGAACTAGATCTGCCTTGTGGTAGTCTCCAATATATTTATATTAAAATATTAAAGTATTGACTGAGTTATGTACGCTTTACCCTAAGACTGATTTGAAAGGACTAAAGAGTCTTCCTTGTGGTAGTCTTCTATGTATTTATAGTAAAATATTAAAATGAAATATATAGCCTTTACCTTAATTCTTAACAGAAACGTTCAGATTTTACTATTTTAGCTTGCTATTGGATTTTATTCACTATGATTTGCACTATTTTAAGCTCAACATATTATGGGCTTTCTCCATTGAACGTTTTAGGTTGTTGAGCTGGATTAGGATATTCATTTACTTGCGCTTGTAAAAGAATTTGATTGACATGAATGAATGGGTCACCAAAACAAGTACTATGTCCTGTTCTGTTGAACTTCTCAGTCTCCCATTTCCTGCAGGATTCGTAGATTTGGTTCCATTTTCTAGTTATGCACACTGCTAGGGCATTTAGGACTCTACAATTTCATCGAGATGGTTCATGATGTATATTTGCCTTAAGTTTCCATTAGCTGTAAAAAGGGGGATGAAGCCCACCATGCTAGGCTAGGAAAACCAATTTCATTTTGATCAATGTATCCTTTTCTTATGCTTCAAAACTTTGAACTGAAGGCAAGTTACTTAGATAACATGTTAGTTTCATTGACAGAATTTTTGGATGTTTTGGACGGTTGGCATTTATTTTCTTCAATCATATAATTTTGATGGATAAGATTCTTTATTTGATGTTCATCAGGTTTTTGAGGTGGAATTTTATAAATAGGTCTATATATATATATATATATATATATATATGTAAAATTGTTTCCAGCTCCTCTGCTCTTTGTGTGATCAAAGTTTCTTGCCTTAATTTCAATTTTATTAGGAAAACAGAGTCGGCAGGTTCAGCTTTGCACAAAGGTTCCACCTTCAAGTAAAAGAAGCTTTTATGCTGGTAATAATCTTTGTTCCTCTAAAGCCTAGTTGTTTCATCAAGTTCTGTCAATTAAAGAGGGTATTTTGTGCATTGTTGGTTTTATTTATAAAAATTAAATACTTTTTCTAGGAAGTGGGCCCGGCTACAATCTCTCCAATGTCAAGAGCAACATATTGAAGAAGGCGAAGATTGATTTTATGAAGAGGTAATCTTTTCTTTTGGATTTTTTTTTTTTGGAAAACTGTGGAGAAAGGGAAAAAGTGCACCACAAATGTTGAATATAAGGAAAAGTTTCCTACATCGTCCAAAAGTTAGTAAAAGTGAAGTTATTTTTTCTTATTTTAGAAGGGCATGTTATGTAGCCTTCTGGGATTTGAGTGGCAACATTGGTTATTTATTGCATTAATGCTGTAGCAGCTAAAATCAGGAGTTGGAATTCATGAAAAAGCCTTGGATTGATAATTTATGATTGTGGCAGTGCCTTTCTTGAACTTTTTCCTCTTTTTTCATTTTTTTCCTCGTAGTGTTTCTAGTCTATGGGTAAGTGCGTTAATAAATAAGGTATAGTCTCTGCGACACCCAAAACCACTCTAGAATTTCTTATAGCTGCATTTAAACTTTAAAGTTGATATTCTTGGCTGTATTAAAAGAAAGTGGATTTATTGCGGTTAAACAACCATGTAAATATGGCCATTCGGTGCTAAGATTTTGATCTTGTACAATGCTCTAGTATGCTCTACTCCTATAATGACTGCATCAAGATTCCACTTCGTCAAGCTGAATATTTGAGGAAATTAATTGCTTCTTTTTTTCTCCTTCTATCTTTAAACAGTCAAGAAGAGAAAAATCTTGCAGCCATGAGAAAAAAAGCAGTGCAGAGTCATCATAGGTAATATCCTTACATTTTTCAATTATACATCTAACAGCCATCCATTGACTTGAGTCGACCACTCATGACATTGGCTTCTTGAAACACAGTGGTAACACCATGACAAATTCAAGTGGGTTTTGCGGAAAGAATTCTGCTTCAACATCAAAGCATACCAAACCTTTAGAGAGGAGATTTTAGAAGCATGTTTCTGAAAATTTAAGATGCACAATCCCAAAAAGATTCTACTGCCTTCCTCTTTTCTTTTTCTTTTCTTGTTTTCCTTGTAATATTAGGAAAATAATAATGGATTCCTATGTAATTTGATAAATCTCATTTTTAATAATGTAATTATTTCCAAGGTTTGCAATTTCCTTTCCTTGTCATAGAATCCTAGTGAAAAAGGCTTGTTGGCTTTACACAAAGGTCATCCAAAGTCCTAGTAGAACTCATCATGGTTAAATTTTCAAGAATTGGAGCAAATATCTTTGTCATTGCTTTCTGGAACAGTGAAGGAGCAACTTTTAATCCAAAAGACTTTACTATCCACTGGAAATAGTGTTGAGGAATGCAAAACGCCGTTTTGTATATGTTCTGTGGATGTATACTTAATTGCCAAAATCCTGCTATGAGGTTTCTCAAACTCCTCCCCTTTTCTTGATAGATCTTTAAAAACTCTTTTAAAACCTAAATACCAAGCTCCAAAAGAATATGTCCAAGCCACAAACTTTGATCAATGTATTCTTCCAGTAGGACCTCAAGAGCATTTTGTTACTCTTCAGATCCTAGAAGAATTTTCTTAACAATGGTCAGAACAAGGATACACTCATATTCACTTTGGTGCTATCAGAATAGCTTTAACCTTCCATGGCAAAAATGAAATTCCTGTATGTACTAGGATGGCCTTGTTGGACATAAGATTTAAAGAATACAAGCATGCAGTCCTTGGCATAGTTGAGACAACACTCAATGCAGGAATTGTCTTCTTCACTGTCTTCCCAAATTATAATGTCTTTTCATGATCCAACCCTGTTAGATGCTTTAAAAGTTCAAGTCCAGATCGTAGGCACAGAAATGAAAGGACTCCAGGCAACCCTTAACTACCAGATGTCATATAGAGTTCAAGATCATGCCATTAACTTGCCTCTTTCACATTCTAGTGATGCTGTTTTTGTCAAAATGGAAGCAGCATATAGAACTCCCTTTTGGTACAACTGAAAAATGGATTCACAGATTTAGAGAAAAACAACCAGTTGATCCAAAACCCAAAAGAGTCGCGTAACAACCATTTTCTCAACCTTCAAAATCAAAACCAAGCTCAAGTTCCACACTTCAAAACCCTACACCACAACCAAACCAAAAATCTGTACAACTTATGATTTCTCATAGACAAACCCTTCTAGAAATACTTCACCAAATGGCATAAAACAATCTCCCTCAATTTCTTATGGAATTAGATATATTAGCCTTTGATTAGATGCTCAATTTCAAAAAGAAAAAAAATGTCAAATGCACAGTTACTCAGGCTATCACAATAGTTCTCACAGCACTCCTTCACCACAGCACATATAAAAGGTAAAGATAACCTCATTCCAGACATGCTCACAAGACCACCTTCAAGACTTCCTTCAAACACCTTACAGATCATTCCAGTCATTTTCATAATGACCTCTTTACCTTTACCGTCACCCTCTTTTGATCCTGTTCCTCAAACGATAACCAATCTTTTTCTCTACACTTACCTTTACAACCCGAAATACAAACCTTTTGTTCCAGATCTGGATTTCCAACCAGTTTTTCCAGTTTACAACCTTTCTCCTGAAATCTAGCAGATCATTGCTAAAAAGACACTTGAAAGACGTGCTCATGATCTCATCTACAAAATGCAGGCTATACTCATCAAAAAACATGGTGATCATGGCCTCAGACCCATTGGTTTTCATCCTCAATTCTCTTTTCTACACTTGTTCTAGAATCCTCATACCGCAAGACTATTCAAAGAAGCCTTAGTTCTTTTATGGTATTTATGCTAACTTTACATCATTGCCATTGAGTTTAACTCCTTTGAACTCAATTTTGCCACAATCACTTTTGCTAATAATGACTTCTTTTATGAAGCTGATAGTCATTTAGGAAATTTTTTGAAGTGGTTTAAACCCCTTCATACTTGGTATTCTGCCACCAAACATTTTTCCCAACACTATCATGTTATCTTTTTCTTCCACCGCCCTTGTCAACTCTATGAAAATTATGCCCTCTTTCAACCCCACTCTGACCTGTATGTGTGTAATCCATACTCTCATAAATTGTGTTGGAAAGATTGTTGGAGGAGGAACATCTTTTTCTTTGCTGTGATCAAATTCAATTGTGATAGTACCATCCTGATTTGTCTTGTAGGTTGGATCAAAGTGTTCAATTAGTTCATCTTGCTTCCAAATCTTTTGATAACTTGTCGTATTTCAAGAATAATATTTTGAAGATTGACAAGGCTCTGATCAAAATGATGACTGACTTGGTCCAATTTGTGTTCAATTCTGTGCAGGTATAAATTCTGTTGGAGAGAATTTTCAGTCTGCCAGTCTATACACAGTAGCAGGTAGTACGGTCAAAGGTCTGACAACTGACGGCTTTAGTTATGGGCTCTCCAAGTAGTAGAGTCTTGATAATACTATATGGTACTATTTCAACAGCGTGAGAGGATGATCTTGAATCAATTTTCTCTCTTAATGATGAGCAGAATGAAAGATCCCTGTTTATGATCAAGCAGTTTGATGATGCTGAGTTTTCAGATTCAGACTACTTAGAATACCCAGATGACTTCACAGATGATCAATGTTATGAGTATATGTCAGTCTAAAAACTCCAAAAAATCCAAACTCTCCAACCTCAGATGTATTCTGGAGGGTATCACCACCATGGTTCTTTCTTGAAAGGAGGAAGTTCTGGAGGAATTGGGATATTGTTGATTTTGCAGAGTCTTTTTAACAGGAGTTTGTACTCATGAGCATAAAGGAGGATAGATTTATACAGAAAGTATGGATTACACACATATAGGTCAAAGTGGGGTTGAAAGAGGGATTGAAATTAATGTTGAGAACTTTTTAGTGAGACTTTTATTCTAAAATTGTCAATTAATGCAAGGTAAAAACTCAAAACTCTATTTGAGCAGCTCAACTTCATTTTTTTTTTTGGTTAAATATAAAAATTATCTTTATATTATGTACTTTTTATTTGATACTTAAAAAAAAAAATTTATTTTGATGCTCAAATTTTCTTTTTGTTAAACACTTTGATACTTCAATCTTAATTAACTTGCTTATGTGTTATTAATATCTAATAAAGTTATAACATGTAGCATAAATATCAAATAATCTTTATATCTATTTTTCACGTTAGAATTTAAAAAGAAAAATTCACAAAAATTTTAAAAAATATATTTAATTCAAAATTAAAAAAAGAAAAAAAAAAGAGAAAGAATGGGAAGAGAGAAAAATTTTTTTTTTTTTGATAAAGTGACTATAGCTGACGAATGATGATGTTACAGCTGACACGATAATGATTGAACATTTATAATTTATGGTATGATTTTATTGATTACTTATAATTACATCAGTTAATAACTGATGGTACTACTGCGAAGTGCGAAACTGCTTAATAAAATGAAAATTGGAGAAAAAAAGTGAGGATTTTATTTATTTATTTATTTTTAGATCTGGGCCATGGAATTGGAAATTAAATTTTCAAGAATTTTGATTATTGGCATTGATTTCTGAATGATAGAAAGCAGAGCACCTGCAGAAAATGAGTAGAAAAGGAGGTAAAAGTCCAATAAAATGAAACGAGAGAAAGTAAAACTTCAATGATTGTTGAAAAGGGCATTGTGCTTGCTATACTGGATTTTGCCAAGTTCTGTCATTTAATTATAAGATTGTGCAAGGAATGGAAACTTGATAAGAGAATATATAAAAGTTGGTATAGAATGAAAATTAACATATAGGTGCAATATAATAATAATCCCAGCAAATTGGTTTCTAAACCATGTATTTTGAATCAGCTAATAACAATATTTTTATATTTGCTTAATGCTTTTAATATTTCTCACATAAACTTGAAAGAAAATTTTGGCTTAGCTAAAAGAAAATTTCGCTTAGAGAATCATTGTTGTCTGTGATACTGGTACCATGTAATTGAAATAAACTTAAAAGAGAAAAAGGTTAGTCACAATTTTTTTTCAGTACAGGAAAATCATCCTCTCAGCCACAAGCTGGTCTGATTAATCTGCATGGTCTGTCTCCATGTCTTTTTCCCTGCATATCATTGAACAGGCTAAACAAGCAGCAAAGAGCATAGGGAAAATATTTAATTTGATAGGATTATTCTCGTGTTGCTTGAAATAAATGTACCCCACTGTTGAGAAAATGCACTGAAACACAGCGCAAATGAATCCAAAAGTTTCAGCAAAGCTACTGAATATTACTTTGTGAGGAAATGGATGATAAAATCTCCCTGCCCATATCCATGAAACCAGCTCCTTTCGACCTTTATGGAGGAGCTCACAAATACAGATAAGCAAAGCTGACAGAGACAATAACAAACCAACTAGTGCGTAATGTGGCCTGCGTGGAGATTGAAGTTGATCACAAACTGCTGTCAAAGTCTCCAGGACCAGGTTGGTGATCAGGAAGCCCCACTTTGGTAACCTAAGGAAAAGAGTTATAATCAAGGGCAGATAAAAAAGGGAAAAAGAAAACAAAAATGATTGTTGATGAGAGTACCGGACTTTTAATTTCAATGAATTTAGGTGTCTATGGATATCCAAAACTTGAAAAATAAGAAAATTTAAAGGAAAATTTTCTCTTTGACACTTCCAAATTTTCTTTAAATATTTTTTCATTGATAAAATTGATAAATCTATTAGATATAGGATTTTATATATAGAAAAGAAATCCTAAAAGAATAAAAGTGAGTCCTTACCCTTGTAAAGCAGCCCTTGTTGTTGGATTACGCGTGCTTTCGCTATTAAGAACAGTTAAAACAACCTGTTGTGTTGGCGATGCGATGGCGTTCGAGTGGAAGGAGTCTTCGATAGAGGGAGGCTGGTTTACATGAGGACTAATAGATTCATCTTGAATTGCAGGGCGAAGCATAGTTAGCAGATCACTTTTATTTTCGTCTTCGGTGGGAAGGAGGTGATTATACTCACTGTTGAGACCAAGCAGACTAATTATCAGATCCTCCCATATCTCTTGGCTACCAGATTGACTTCCTCTCTCGAGCTGCTGGTAGTTGAGATACTGCTGAGGGTTTTCAACTAAATTATGCTTCAGAACATCATCTTTTACCACTAGAATATCCCTTGAAAAATCCAGCCTTTCCCCTGAGCTATGAGCAGCTGGCTTCTCTTCTCCTCCTTCTTTTTCCAGTATGCCGATTTTGTTGATATCTTCTGTAAGCAAATTCGAGTTTCCTCCCATCATTCTCCCTCACTCACTCACAGAAGGGGAAAACAAAAATTGTTCTGTGTTATTAGCAGAGAAGTTCGTTCATTCACAGCAAAAATCTTAGAAAAGTTTATGCTATGAATATTGAGCACTCGTGATTTTCACAAAAATTTAACTAGACAAAAAATCAAGGAGTCGAAATTTGAATTAAGTGTTGGAGCTTAAAATCAAGCGCTATACAAATTTAACATTAATCTAGTTTTGCTCATCTAACAAAAATTATTTGATACACTACTAGTAAAATTATTTTTTAAATTTTATAAATAAAATTTATAAACACTTAATTTTATACGAACGGATTTAAACGAAACTCAAATTGCATTTGTGATTTTGATGTGTCTAATTTGAATTCATTAGAGTAATTTGATCATGTATATTGTATTGAGTTCAATTATATATTATTTTCTTAATTAATCTTAAAACAAAAAGGAACAAAGTCAAAATAAAATTAAACAAAGCAAAAAAGTCAAAAAAAAAAAAAACTTGAACTTCAACCGAAGAAATCAAGTAGCTTCAAATTTCAAACTTTGAAAATCTTGCAAAAGTTTTCAATGGATTTGAAAAACGATCCTCAATCCTAGAATTTTTACGATTTGGATTCCTAATTGAATCCTATAAACCCAGCCTTTAAGCTATAAAAAAAGATAAAGAGAGATCAAACACACAGAGGTAATACACAAAAAATTTTCAGAAGGGGTGGATTTTTTTTTTACAGCAGCAAAAATCCCTATTACCATTTAGCTCACCCATTAGAAACACATCCACCGACATTCAAAAAATCAAGTCAAACCTTTAGCCACATCCTTTAAAGGGAACCAACACAGAAGGTTTTCCTTTAAAAAAATTCAAAAAAAAGAAAATTTCAAAAAAAGAAATTTGAGAATAAAAAAATTTCAATCTAAATGGTTTGGGATCTTACTGTAAAAATTAGTTGGAGAAAGAGGATTAAAAGATTAAAAAAAGTGCTTTAGGATTTTTTTAAAATTTTTTTGTGGCCGAAATTCGGGATTTTTTAAATTTTCAGCACTAAAACTTGAAAAATTGGTCAAAATTTGAAATTTATTTAATTTTCTAATGCCGATTGAAGATACTGGCAACGATATACAATTGCAGCAGGCAGAAATCTGGGTTTCCCAATAGCCGATGAAGGGTTTGTGGTTTTCTAAAGAAAAAAGGTTTCTAGGGCCAGAGAGACAGAGGAAAGAAAAAAAAAAAAAAGTCATTTTTGCGACATCTAATCGTGCCCAACTTCGTTTGACCGTATGGTTAGTTTTGTTATTTTTGTTTTTTTTTTTTTTTTTTTTCATTTTTATTTTATTTTATTTCATCTCATTTTTTTGTTTTTTATGATATTATTATTATTATTATTATTATTATTATTATTATTATTATTCATTCTTTTAGAAATAAGTAAAAATAAAAATAAAAAGTAGATTTGGTGAAATTAAAAAATGTGAATAAAGTTTTAAAATATAATTATTAAGGAGAATGGAAATTTTGTTACAAGTAAAATATTTTTTAAATTTCACTAAAGTGTTGAGATTATTCAAAGAATCATTTTTCTAGGAATAAAATTTAACAAATAATAAATGATTTAAAAATAATTAATTATTTGAATAAATCTTTCAAATAAGTAAAAAATATCTTTCAATTATTTGAAATTGAAAGAGTCTAATTTTCTTTAATTATTGTAAGTAAAAAATATTTTTAAAATTTTATCAAAGGGTTAGGATATTCTAAAAATTATTTTGTATAAAAATTTATTTAAATGACTCAAAATAAATAAAAATAAATAATGAAAACAAAGTAAATAACATGCTTATTTGAAAGAATATTTTGAGTGAAATTTTTTAAGGAAAATAGGAAAAGTCTTCTTTTCCTTAATTATTACTAAAAAAATAATAATTTCTTAGGATTTCATCAAAAAATTAAGATAATCTTAAAATCAGTGTGAGAAATAATTTTTGGATTCTGCCAAAAAGTTGAAAAAATTCTAAAACTAGTTTTGTAAATAATAATAATAATAAATAAATAAAATAAATAATGTCATATGATGAAATTTTGAGAATTTTGTTAATGATTAATTTTCTCAAAATTTTTTAAATGAAAATATTTTTTATAAATTCTACCAAAGCATTGGAAATTTTATAAAATATGAAAAAAAACTTTTTTTTACAAAATAATAATAAAAAATATTTTTCATAAATAATTTTAGGGAATTAATTTTAAATATTGAAAAGACCGTATTGTCAAAATAAATGGATAACACATGTTCAATTATGTTATTTTCATGTTGGTGTTAATCATGAAATATTTATATTGTTGATTTTATTTCGATTAGTAATTGTTATGTTTTCTCACACATTGATAATTCTATTTTTTATTGAATTATCATGAACTTGTTTGATTAATTTTGATACTTTGATTAATTTTTGCTTGATTCTTAGCAAACTTATTTAATTATCTACCTAATTTTATTTACTTGTGTCATGTGTAGAAAATTAGAATATTAAAGAAACAAAGTGAAATTTGCTTGATTTCATGTTGAACGTGCATGAGAGGTGCTGACCACACTTGCATGGTGTGCATGGAGGACAAGCAAGCTACCAAAATTCTTCTTGTGCTAGCCAAAATTTGTGATTTTCCTTAAGCGATATTCATTAGGAAAAATATGCAAAAAGGAAGGAGGTCTCTTTAAGGAGAATTCAGCTGCCACCTCCCTTGATTGGAGCCCGAACACCAAGAGCTTGAGACTCATTAAAGCTAGGCATCTTGTTGCTAATTTGAATTAAAAATGAAGGCTTATTAGAAGAGCTTTAAGTTGGGATTAGAGCTTAAATGAAAACAAAATGCAAGCCAAATAATATGAAATTTGACCAAAAAGATTCGGTAGAAAAGAGAGCGCAAGAGGAGCTGAACCTGTCTTGAAATTTGTTGATGGGGAATTTAAAATTTTTCTTTGGCTATAAAGCCATTGGTTGCTTGACTTTATGCCTCCTCCTTTGACAATTTGTTGTGGAAAAAATTGGTTGTGGAAAAAACCAACACAAAGGAAAGCTAACACGAGGGGGGATCGTTTTTCTTCTCCCATTTTCTGGTGTCTGTCAAGAAAAGATTTGCATTTTGTCATGATTTAAGGCTTATTTGAGCTAGTTTTCATGTATTTGACTGCGTTTTTGTAGAATCAATATTTTCTCTAAAATCAATGTTTAGTTTAAATAGGCAAGCTCATTTATATTTGTATTTTTGTTTATTTATTAATAATATTATTTATTTTATTATTATTATTTATTTTATTATTTATCTATTAATGTTTATTTTATCATTTATCTATTAATATTTTTATTTATTTATTATTATTATTTTTTTTGACTTTATCTTTTTTCTTGATTGATTCTTGGTTGGGATTAGGATCAGAAAAAATTAAAATTTTGGCGTGAATTTGGAGTTGACAAAATTGGATTGGATTCAAATATTGAATCCAAATCCCAGAGGAAATTGGGATTGATAAGAAACTCTTCTGATCAATCCCTATAAATAGGTGCTGAAGCATATGGGAAAGGGACAGAAAATACACAAAGAAAACAGAAGCAAAAAAAGGTTCTGGTGCGTTAGAAAAAGCTTTAGGAATTTGTAGGAATTTTTTTAGAATTTTTGAAGTTTTTTTCAAAAAAATTTCTAAAAATTTTTCAGAATCCGACAAAATTTTTTGGCGAGATTCAAGTTTTTCGACAAGATTTTCGGCTAACTTTGAACATTTCGACAAGTTACCCAGTTTTCGACATAACTTCCTAGAAACCGACCAACTTTCCAATAGCTTTCCGACGATAAACCTAAATTTCGACAAGAATTTTTAGAATTCGGTTAAATATCAACCAGTGTTCTTGAGGGGATAGAGAGAGAGGGAGAGAAAAAGAGAAGTAGAGAGAGAGAGGGAGGAAGAGGATTATTCTGGGAAAGGCTGAAATTAACCTTTTATAGCTCTCTAAAACGATGCCATTTTGAGCTTAAGAAAATCTCAGGATCTGCGTGTTTTCATTCGGACGATCTGACCCGTTGCGTTAACCCGCTTCAACCTACTCCACGAACCCTGCAATTGAACCGAGCCGAGCCAAGCCGATTGCCAGCTGAGCCATGTTTTGAGCCGTGATTTCTGTTTTAAGCCGAGCCGATCTTAGCCGTAAGCCGAGCCGTTTCCATTTTTTTGGTATTTTTATTTATTTATTTTATTTATGTGTTGAATTATTTTAAGAGTATTTTTGCATGATTTAATTTAATAAAATAATAAAAATAAAAATTTTGGGAATAAATATTAATTATCAAATGATGAAATTTATAAAAATTTCAAATGATAAATTTTTATAAAGTTCTTAGGCAAGAGATTTTGTCTAAATTTGTGCCAAATTGTGGAATAATATAGATAAACTTTCAATAACAATAATTAATATTTATTTTCAAACACAAAAAAATAATAAAAACATAAAAATATAAAAATTTTTGGAATTAAATACAAATTACCCAATGATGAGATTCTTAGAAATTTTAAATAGTAAATTCCTAAGAAATCTCTAGGTGAGAAATTTCTTTTAAATTTGGCCCAAATGGTGGAATGATTTAGATGAAATTTTAATATAAGTAATTGTATTCTTTTTCAAATAAAAATTTGGATTGAAAATATTTGATAATTATCTAAAGATGAGATTTTTAGAAATTTCAAATGGTAAATTTTTAAGAAATCTCTAGGTGAGAAATTTTCTCTAAATTTGACTCAAATGGTGGAATAATTTAGATGAAATTTCAATAAAAATAATTGTCATATTCTTTTTCTTTCCAAGGAAAAAAGAGAAAAAGGGAATTTTTAAATAGACCAAAATGGTGAAAATTTTAGAAATTCAAAAGAGAAAATATTTCTAATTTGGCCCAAATGGTGGAATGAGTAGATATATTTTCAACAAAAATGGTAATAATAAAAAATAAAAAATAAATTTTTTTCCGACGACAGAGCCTCTTTAAGAAATCAAATGAGATTCTTGAATACTCTTGAGGTGAAGAAGTATTTTTTTAAGAGTTCTACCAGATTGATGGAGAATTTTAAAAATTATTTTCAATATTTACTATAAAATTTAAAGCCATTAGACTCAAGATTATATGATGAATTCAAAATA